GGCGGAAAGTTTTTGGTTGTTCGTAAACCTATGGACTTTTAGTCTTGCTCCAGAACATGAGTATAGCGTGCAAATCCGCTGTACAGATCAGACGTTTTTGTATGCAGATTGTTGGTTCCATTCCTCTCAGAGAGATGCACACGAACTTCAAAGAAAGCCTCTAGTTAGACCACCCTTACGACATACCATTTTAGGAAGGCATATGGTCTTTCTTGTTTTTCCCATAGTGGGATCCTGTAACCCATAGTGGGATCCTGTAACCCATAGTGGGATCCTGTAACCCACACGGGAACAACGCCAATGAGGTGTATGACAAGGGTTGCAGAAATTACCTCAAAGTATTTCTTTTTCTAAGTCGATACGAACGCTTCGTAATGCCGGGATGACGGGTTCGATCCCAGCTGCGGGCCACGCGCCTTGCGTTGGTTTCGACAGTGGTATCAAGAAAGCCGACCGTCCAGGATGGCAAACTACTGGACCTAAATTTGCCTAGAAAGACCACAAACCAGCCAGAGGCTGTTGGGGTTGGTTCTGCAACGTCCTGTAAAGGATACGCAACTAACCATTAATTTTTCTTCTTCTTTCGATCGCCTGAGATAGATTATATATATTTGCAGTGTTGTCTCTAGTAATAATTTCACTGTCTTTTGTAATTCTTTCATGAGCCATGCAGTTTGACTTGCACCAATGTTTCTCTTGGCCAACAGTTTTGCCTTGATATGTTGTATTTGGGAGGTTAGATAGCAGGAGTGTCCAGAAAAGATAAAATTAGAAATGAGGGCATAAAGGGAGAAATTGGCACAAAATTCACTCCTCTTTGAATCAGTCGCATTTTATGCTTAACATTTTTTCTCAGATATTTGCTTTCGATTGCATTAAACTTTCAGTTCATATCTTTAGGGGTTTTCCAAACCTCACTAGCACATTTTAAAACTGAAATATCATAAATGAATATACGCAACTTGATTTAAAAACGATATATTTTAGTTAATTATTTTGTTCAGGGTTTTAAAATATGCTGATTCCTAGCCAGTTATCATCATGTGCCCTGCCAGTTGGTGTAGGCGCTCATGCGTCTCCACAGAACACGATCCCTGGTTGCCTGGAACAGCTCTCTTGATGATATCTCTCCATGCCATCGTTTCAGCCCATCCGACATCATCTCTCTTGATCTGCCTCTACCCCTTTTCCCCACTGATCTTTCCAGTTGTCACGATGTTCTCGAATTTCTCTCTTCTCATCATGTGGCTAAAGAGTGGCAGTGCGTGACCTAATTTCTGTCTTTGTGGTTTCACGATCAAAATCACTACCTAAACACTACCTGACTTCCGTTAACGGTGAGCTAAAGTTTTAGGCCACTGGTAGCCTACCTTAGGTTTATGGGGGCCCTAGTTGACCATGTTCTTAGTGCACTTGTTTCCATAGCGAGGCGCACACGCCGTCTGGAGGTGACAGATTCAATTCTCGGCACGGTAACTCTAGCTTTCGATTTGTATGTTGTCTAGTATGTTCTTTTATCTTTCTACTTCTGACTATGAGTGCCGATCAATACATTTGCTGTTACTTTATCAATATATCGTATGTTTGAGAGTCAAACTATGAGGTAGATGCAGGCCAAATATTAATTTTGAGCTACAAATCTTGAGGTAGACGTATAGGCCAGGTAGACCTTTACGCTGCAGTGTAAGGTAATTATGTACAAAACGTGAATCCTTTAAACTAAAAGACGCAGACCACAGTGTCTTTGGTTACACTGCAAAACTAGCCATGGAAGTCTACAAGCCACGACGTGGTCCTTATGTTTATTAAACCTCTTATTGCCACAGCCTCCGCCAATTTTAATCAACACCCGTTGAGTGTTGTTTGTGTCTTTTTTATTTTAATTGTAACATGAGTCGAAACTATAAAGCTGATGATGCTTACGATGATATTGATGATGATAAGGAGGAGGACATCACTCGAGGAGGAAGAGGAAGATGTGGTGGTGGTGATGGCAGTGAAAATGATGTTAAGTTTGTAATTCACCTCTCTCTTGTTGACTCCCATACCCCGGCCGACCTAGATACAACAACCTCCGGCTATCCACAGACTTCAGAAATTTGATTAGTTCCCCGACATTGATGAACAAATCGTCGTCTGCTCGGAATATCCACTGTGTGAGAAAATTCATACAGAACTAATACATGTGGATATAATGTGGATGGAACTAATGCAGATGGAACTAAGGCAAACGGAATCAATGCAAATGGAACTAATACAGACGGAACTAATACGAATGGAAGTAATGCAGGTGGAACTAATACGGATGGAACTAATACATGGTGGGACTGTGCAGAAGGGAATAATATAGATGGAACTAGTGCAGATGGAACTAATGCAGACGAAACTAATACGGAGGGAACTAATACAGACGAAACTAATACGGATGGAACTAATATGGAGGGAACTAATACAGACGAAACTAATACGGAGGGAACTAATACAGACGAAATTAATACGGATGGAACTAATACCCAGGGAACTAATACAGACGAAACTAATACGGATGGAATTAATACAGATGGAACTAATACAGACGAAACTAAAACGAATGGAACTAATACGGAGGGAACTAATACAGACGAAACTAACACGGATATAATTAATAAGGATGGAACTAATACAGACGAAACGAATACAGAGAGAACTAATACAGACGAAACTAACACGGATAGAACTAATATGGATGGAACTAATAGGGATGGAACTAATACAGACGGAACTAATACGGATGGAGCTAATACTTGTGGAACTAATACATATGGAACCAATACAAACGGAATTAATACAGATGGAACTAATACAGATGGGACTAATACGGATAGAACTAATACAAACGGAACTAATACTGAAAGAACTAAGCCAAACCATTTTGCTCATTGTCTTCTAGTGATACACAGAACTGCTGCTACTCCAATTTTCCTTCAGATTTCATTGTTTGTGATTTTATTTCTTTTTGTTATATTGGTTGCCTTTTGTGGAAATCTCATTTCAGTTGTAATTTTTCTTGTCTCTGTTTCTGTCACTGTCCAGGTCTGGCGTTGACAATACAGGGTTGGCACATCTGGTGACACATATTTGTTTCTTAGTACTGGCGCGATTTGCCAAGTAAGTTGGTTTAATCTGTTATATCTATCATCGATCTCATTTTCTGTTTTGCCATTTTTATGTTTTGATGATATTAAGCTTTCAAAGAAATTAAAGTTCTTGGTTTGTTTCTGAGGGTGTTCTGTCAGCTGAATATTTATTGTTTTGTCTACTTAGGTTATGGTCGTGATATCTGTTTTGTTGGCGTTAATTTCATGTTATGCGAATTTGGTTCAAATAATTTATATGGTCTTGCAGTTCAGCTTCTGAAGTGGCAATTAATGTTTGGTCACCCGGAAATAGTAGTTCTTTGATGGAACTGTTTAACTTTGCATCATCATCCCATTAGTAAATTATAGTCCTTGTTTGACAGTTGGTTTCTCCACAAATGTATCAATGTAAGTTATGAAGAGAGGGGGAGACATGACATAGCCCTGCGGTACGCCAGATTTTATTGTGAATGATTCTGAGTGTCTCCCGTTTGTGCATTCACTGTTGTTATACGGTCGGTGTTCGAAACCGGGCGGTTCCCAGGGTTCACCCAACCTCTAGAAAATTGGTACCAGAGCAGCGTTGCCACTTTAGATATTTTACATCCAGATTTAGATGTTTTTCTTTGCATTTAGATGGCGTTTTTGACGTTTAGATAGTAGATGTTTTTCTAGATGTTTTTCATTTGGAGTAAATTTATCAAATCTAACGTAAGAAGCACAATGAAATTTAACCTCTTAAATGCTATTTTGACAATAAAATTCGGCCTGATGAGAGTAAGAAAATGCTGTTCCACTTATCAGCTCCCTTATTGGGTATTAAAAGAAATTGGAACAGCTAAAGCATACGAGTCATTTTGGATCTGAAGCTTCAACTTCTTCATCATACAAACTACCTTTATCCTGTGGATCTTGTAAGGCAGACTTCAGTAAAAATGAGGACATGATTCTATAGGGTAAATCATATCAATTGCTATATAATTTGTGACGCTTTCAATTTGGATGTTTTTCTAGATGTTTTCCACGCAAATTTAAATATTTTTAGATATTTTTTGACTCCGTTTTGGATGTTTTTTGTCAAAGAAAAGTGGCAACACTGTACCAGAGTTAACACTCTGGGGTAAAGGGAGGAACGTCGCTGTAGCTACGGAGTTTCTTGCTGCAGTGACACAGGCGGACAGTTTCTTATCAGCTGTCTATACTGGTGGCAGAGCAGTTATGGTTTATAACCGTGTGCAGTGATGCTGGTTCACATCTCCCGACTTTACCTTTACCTGTAAGCTTTTACAAGATTCCCCATGGTTTGTTCCTATCTATTCTGTCAAATACGTTTTCTTGATCAACAAAGATACATAAGATATCACCTCATAATCCTCAGCGTAATGATGGTTGATGTACTGCAACATTGCAAAGGATTTCTTCTGGGGAGGGTAGGCGTTTTCTTCAATGCCGTCCAGCTCGACCACATTCAAGTCTCCTAAATAAGAGTTAAGTTGAATCTATTAGGTGTTGCCAAACAATGAAGAGGCATTTCAACACCAGAGAAGTTATTGAGATGCAAGAAATGAAAACAGCCATAGTACTTATTGCTTGTAACAGTAGCAGCAGCAGCAGCAGTAGTAGTAGCAGTAATAGCAATTGTTGTTGTTCTGGTTGTGGTAGCGATGGTGGTTGTAGTAGTCACAGTACATGTTTTGTTGTTGTTGTTGTTGTATTATTCAGGGGCCCTAGAAAATGGGGCCACGACCTCTACCACCACCACCAATACTATTACAGCTACAACTACCACTATTACTATCAACACTACTACTACAATCGCTACTAAAACTACTACAGTTAGCACTACTATCACCACCACTACTACTAGTGCGACTACTACTACCA